AGCGAGGTTTGAAATATTCAGGTATAGGTTTTCCTACACTTGAATTTTCTCATGTTCACAAAACAAAAAGACAAATTCGTGCAAAACAGTATCAACAACTTTCAGCCACAGCATCAAAATAGGAAGTTAGCCAGCAGACACTCTACAGCCAAGCTAGATTCTAAACAAAAAGTCTCTTTTGTACAAAGAAAAATGTTTTTTTCTTTTGTTTTTTAAAAAAGGCTGTAACTGGCAAATTTACTTTTTCCTCAATGCTTGCCCCAAGTTCAGGGTTATAACTTCCTATTCCAGATGCCTACTGCATTAGTCAAACTGAATGCAAGTGTTCATTAATGCAAATGTGCTTCCAATGCAGCATGGTGGATGGATTCTCTCTTTCTAATCTCATTTTCACTTACTTTTCTTCCAATGTTTTCTAAAGAAACAGTATTTTCCATCTTCCATTCTTATCAAACTCTTATCAAAGGTTTCAAGAGTAAAACAAAAAATTTGTTTGATTTTGATTTTGTTGGTGGGAGCATATATCCTAGATGACACTAAATTATATCACTAATAGTGATAATATGGTCAAAACAATGATATCTGCCTCTTCTGCTGTCATGATTTTAATATTAACTTCAAAATGCTACCTCTAAAAAAAGTCTAAACCCTAAAATACAGTTAATTTATTTGATCATCTTTATTACAGGTCCAGCAGTTATGACCATGGCTTTGGCATTCTCAGAGTCTTACTTACTTGCTGTGTTACCTTGGGCAAGTTATTCACCATTTTCAAGTTATTTAAACTGGTAAAAGAGGTAGTCCCTTTCCTTTATAGAATTGCTTATAAAGATTAAATGAGATGATTTATGTAAAGTTTACTGGGCATAGTAAAAGTTCAATGAAAATTAGTCACATACTACATTTACATTTCTGTCAGTATCTTTTTATATTTTATGAAGTACAGGAAAACATCGTTAAAATGTAATCCACTATTTTGAAACTCTCAGGGATTATTAGCACGAAATATAATGTTGCTTGATGGAAAAAGGAAACCATAACCTAAACACTGCAAGGACAAGGACTACTCAGGGGTACAACTTATTGAAGAAGGAACTGATTATTCCATTGACATTCTACTTAGAAATCTACTCACATCAAAAGTTTAACTTCCTAGCTTATCTAGATGTATTCTCAAAGTAGTACCACTTAATGAGTATCACAAAATTTATTTAAAAATATTTAACTGCCTGTTATTCAGTCTGAATTAATGACATTTTAAATACATGCATCTACCTGAAACCCAATAATGGTAAGTATGTATTTCATTATTTAAAAAATATGTCATTCTTAAATCTTAAAATGTCCTATTTAGGCCAGGTATGGAGGCTCATGCCTGTAACCCCAGCACTTTGGGAAGCCGAGGTGGAAGGACCACTTGTGCTCAGGAGTTCTGCCTGGGCAACCTAGTGAGACTCTGATGCTATTTTTTTTTAAGTCCTATTTAATTATTACAACATATTGCTTAATATGTCTGGTGTATACAAAAATAGCCAGCTTCCCTAATACTAGATAGCTAAGGCATATGAAACCAAATAAATTAGTTGGGTTAGTGTCAGTGATGGACTTGAGGTTTATGCTGGTGGCAGCAGTCACTTTCACAGGCCTGTATGGAAGTGGACTGTTACCAGAGCCCTCATCTCTCACCCTGGGTTTTAATAGTTAACCAAGTATATCAACAGCTTCCTCTTCCCTTATTTTTACTAAGGCAGACTGGAAGCTACCAGTTTTGGCTACCCTAGAAAACACCTAGATCATCTGCCAAGGTGAGGTGTTCCCTCAAACAACTGAACAGGCTAACCCCTAGATTGCCAATGACGTAGAGCCCCACTGGGCTACTTTTCCATCATGTGTTTTGTTTATTTGTTTGTTACAGGAGAAAATACTACTAATAGAGGCTAAATGAAACCCATTCAAGGAAAAGACATTCTTTTTTTTTTTTTTTTTTTTTTTTGAAAAAAAATTTTTTTTTTTTTTTTTTTTTTTTTTTTTTTTTTTTTTTTTTTTTTTTTACAAAGTTTTGCTCTTTCATCCAGGCTGCAGTGCAATAGTGTGATTTGGCTCACTGCAACCTCTGCCCCCTCCTTCCCCACCCCCTCACCAGGTTCAAGTGATTTTCCTGCCTTGGCCTCCCGAGTAGATGGGATTATAGGTGCCCACACCACGCCTGGCTAATTTTTATATTTTTAGTAGAGACGGGGTTTCACCATTTTGGCCAGGCTGGTCTTGAACTCCTGACCTCAGGTGATCCACCTGCCTCAGCCTCCCAAAGTGCTAGAATTACAGGCATGAGCCACCATTCCTGGCCAGATAGGGCATTTTTAATTACCTTTTTAGAATAACACTATTCTCAATCTACCTTAGTCAAAAAAAATTTTTTTGGAAGCAAAAAGGAAAAATAAGTGTATGGTGTCTTACAAATTCTAATACACACTGTGAAACTGAAGCCTATTTAAACATTCATTTTTAATTAAAATCCTTTTTATTTACCTCCCTTCTACTTGAGTATACATGTAATTTTTGTTAACATGGATTAAAAAATTTTTAAAGCTATGACAGTTATCTTTTCAACATGTCATATATTCGGTATGTTAGGCATACATACTTGAGGGTTACACTATTACACTGTTTTAGAGTATCAACTATTCCTTCTCTTTTCTTTTTTATTTTTATTTTTTTCATAAACATCAAACTTGGGCTAGCTTACTGACTCAACTATCCCTTTGCTATATGAAAAAAGTGACTTGGTTGGCACAGTGGCTCATGCCTGTAATCTCAGCACTTTGGGAGACTGAGGTGGGCGAATCCGTTGAGGTCAGGAGTTTGAGACCAGGCTAACATGACGAAACCGCATTTCTACTAAAAATACAAAAATTAGCTGGGTGTGGTGGTACATGCCTGTAATCCCAGCTACTCAGGAGGCTGAGGCGAGAGAATCGCTTGAGCCTGGTGAGTGGAGGTTGCAGTGAGCTGAGATCATGCCCTTGTACTCCAGCCTGGACAACAGAGACTCCATCTCAAAAAAAAAAAAGAAAAAGAAAAAAAAAATGAAAATCAAAAAGTGACTTAAGGTTAGAATGTATGGTTAAAGATCTGAAATACTTACAAGAGAGGAAATATAATGATTTGTTCTATTTATACTATATTTTTCTTCCGGAGTAGAATAAATGTAATATCTATTTGCCTAAATTATTAAGCTTCTCATAAGAAAAAAAAAAACCCTTAAAAATATAAATATGGTCAAGTTCCAAATGTCAAGAACAATGTAAGTACTTTTTTTTTGAGATATACCTTCACTCTTGCTCCCCAGGCTGGAGTGCAGTGTCACGATCTTGGCTCACTGCAATCTCCACCTCCCTGGTTCAAGCGATTCTCCTGCTTCAGCCTCCTAAGTAGCTGGGATTAGAGGCATGTACCACTACATCCAGCTAATTTTTTTTTTTTTTTTTTTTTTTGCATTTATGGAGTTTCGCCATGTTGGCCAGCCTGGTCTCAAACTCCTGACCTCGGGTGATCCACCCACCTCGGCCTCCCAAAGTGCTGGGATTACAGGCGTGAGCCACCTCACCCAACCTAATTAAGTATTTTTAGTAGAGACAGGGTTTCCCCATGTTGTTCAGGCTGGTCTCAAACTCCTGACCTCAGGTGATCCACCTGCCTTGGCCTCCCAAAGTGCTGGGATTACAGGCGTGAGCCACCACAAGAAGCAGATTTAACAAGGCAAAAGTTTTACTAATTAAAAAAAAAATCCCATTATATTTTTATTGTTATAAGGGAAAAGTCTTTTGCAGCTAGAGAATTCCAGCTGCAACTGTTTGCACAACACTTCTTAAATCTATCAATCTATCTAGTGATTTTAACTACTTTTTCCTTTTTTAAAATAAGGGTTTTCCATCGACCTATATTTGGGTCTAGCACAACAGCACAAATGAAATAGTACTTTATTATTAGTGAAACTTGATGAAGCACATAGTACCCTCTCTTTCAGATTCTTGGCAATGTCATCTCTACAAACTGATTCCCTTCCCTACAGATTGACAGATTAAAAACAAAACAAAGCCACAACTCAATCTCTAGGACAAGAAGCCTTGCTTGCCAAAAGTCACATAAATGACTTGTTCCATGTTCCTAGGCAATTTGGGTACTAGCCTAGCTTTTAGGACACATCTCAGATAAATTCACATTAAAATACTCTAGCTAGGTTGGCAATTTTCTAGGAGTGGAAGCACATCTTTATACTGGTTTTCCAAATCCGCTACCACTTGCTTGGCCAACACATATACTAAAACCATGTAACCAGTTACATAGCTGCAAATCCATACATTAAATGCATTCTAGGGGTTGGGTGTTTTCTGAGCCACAATTTTTTTTGCTGTTGATGGTGGTGGTGAGGCAGGGTCTTGCTCTGTCACCCATGTGGGAGTGCACTGGCACAATCATTGCTCACTGCAAACTCCAACCCCGGGGCTCAAGCAATTCTCCCACCTCAGCCTCCCAAGTAGCTGGGATGATGGACACACACCACCAATGCCTGGATATTTTTTTGTAGAGACAGGGTTTCACCATATTGCCCAGGCTGGTCTCAAACTCATGAGCTCAAGTGATCTACCCACCTTTGCCTCCCAAAGTACTGAGATTACAGGTGTGAGAAATTGCACCTAGCCTCTGAGTCACAATTCTATCTGCTCCAAATTCTGGTGGGCAAGTTTTTAATTTTAAAGAAATACTCAAAACTATACCTAAAGTTTATGCTATGTTAAGGGGTCCACCCAGCCTTATTTTATTTTATTAACCATTACAGGAAACCCACTTAAAACTGCTAAATAGAAAGAAGTAGCTTGTAATTAGTTTTCATTTTAGGGGATTCAGGGGCAACAGACTTGTGCCTCATATCCCCAGTTACAGCCTCTTTCTCAACATTTTTCTTTTATCAATGCACAAAAAAAATATGACAGACTTGCCTTGTGAGGTCGAAAATAGGGATACAGGCTGAGAGGAAGAGGAAGAAACAAAGGAATCTGAAAGAAAATATACAGCATGAGAATATGACAACCTCACACAGAAATTTTAACTTTAACTTTCTTTTTGATGGGGAGGAAGAGCCAAGCATCATAATTGCATTGGGTTTAACAAGGGGGAAAACCCAAATCTTTACATTGAATTATTGTTTTCACTCACCTGGTAGCAAAATCTTATTTTGTTTTCAAGATGCATTTCTAAAAGTTAATCCATTCCTTTTTTTTTTTTTTTTTTAGTCAAACATTCTCACCTTCCAAAAAAAGAGGAACCCCTAGCATTTTAAATCAAGCACAACCTCAAGAACAAATGATGCTACTCTGCTACTCTATGTGGGAAAGGGAAAATAAGTATCTGAGTACTAATTAATATTTGCTTTTAACCATTCCTGAATACATTTTGAGGAGCTAGTCACTAACATAAGCATTTAAATATATCTAATTGGCAAATATGCAAAGTTGACCCTAAATATTTTTTTAAAAAGCACAATTAATCCATTGGGAGAAAAGAACTACATGAGAAATCTATCTTCCAAAATTATACTCCTTTAGGCCTGGTGCAGTGGCTCACATCTGTAATCCCAGTACTTAGGGAGGCCAAGGCAGGTGGATCACCTGAGGTCAGGAGTTTGAAATCAGCCTGGCCAACATGGTGAAACACCATCTTACTAAAAATACAAAAATTAGCTGGGTGTGGTGGCGCATGCCTGTAATTCCAGCTACTCAGGAGGCTGAGACAGGAGAATGAATCCCTTGAACCCAGGAGGTAGAGGTTGCAGTGAGCCAAGATTGCACCACTGCAGTCCAGCCTGGGCAACAAAGTGAGACTCCATCTTTAAAAAAATGAAATAAAATAAAATTATACTCGTCTAAATTCAGCAACATACATCAAATTTAAAATGCACATATTCTCCTCCCAGTCCCCCTGCACAATACTAACTCTACAGTTACATTTCTAAGAATTTATCCTACAGACATATATGCATACATGTACAAAGATATGTGTATGAGGATATTCATAAGAGCTCTGGTTATAAATATTAGGAATACTCTAAATGACCATCAACAGAAGCCTAAAGTTACACCTAGCACTTGCTTGGTCAACACATATACTAAAACTGGAAGGATACACAGAAGACTAGCATGGCCCCTTAAGTTATTTTTAAAAGAGTTACATGCAAACTATGAAATACTTGCTGCTATGAGAAAGAATGAAGTACAGCTATACCTTTGTATCTGAGGGGGACTGGTTCTAGAACACCCCCCACACCAAAATCCAAAGATACTTAAGTCCTATGTATAAAATGGCATTGTATTTGCATATAACCTATACACACCCTCCCTTATAATTTAAGTATCCTTTAGACACCTAATACAATGTAAATGCTATGTAAATAGTAGACACACTGTATTACATTAAAAATTTGTATTTTTTCTTTTTTTAAAAAAATATTTTTGATACACAATCGGTTGAATCTACAGATGTAGAACCTGAGATAAGGTGGGCCAAGTGTATACGTAGATATAGTCCATATATGAATTAAATTTAAAAAGCAAGGGCCGGGCGCGGTGGCTCAAGCCTGTAATCCCAGCACTTTGGGAGGCCGAGGCGGGTGGATCATGAGGTCAAGAGATCGAGACCATCCTG